TTTGCTTGTTCTTGGTTGGGGGTTTTATTTTTTGTGGTGGTATAGCTGAGGCCACGAGATAGAATGTGTTTACAATCTTAGCAACATTTAAATGCAGACTTTCAGATCTTAGAGCGAAATCAAATGACCTCCTTCTTCCAAATCATTAATACATTACCCATGAGCTAGTTATTTTACAGTTCAGTGCTTCCTAAATGGAATGTGATTTTCCTTGTTGAGATGTAATAATGCTGGGTAAAGCGTTAGTTACATTATTCTTTATACTTTTATATATTTAATCGAAGGCATCGTTTTGAAAATGAGCTTACTACTTCTAGGGATTTATAGAGACTTCTCCTACAGACATGCTCTTAGATAAGCATTGTTTGTAATAGTAAAATATTGTAAACTACCTGGAAGTTCTTAAATGAGAACTGCTATGGATAGTATGCTACCTTTACACAGGGACCAAGGATGGGGGTACTTCAGAAAGTGTATAGAAACTTGGCATTAAAAGAAAATGGATTTTTTCCCCACAAACTTTTTGAAGCCTCCTGTATACTGCCCATCAAAAGAATTTACTGACACACAACCATTTGCAAGAAACATATTTAAGAGATGAAAGCAAAGAACAGAATGCAAGTGGGTGTCAGGTTGATTCGACTCACAGTGACCCTGTGGGTGGAACAGCCCCAGGGGGTTCCACGGCTGTAATCTTTGTGGAAGCAGGCTGCCATGGCATTCTCCCAGGGAGCTTCTAGTAACTGGGAACAGTCAGCCTTCCATTAGCAGCCGAGAGCGTCGCCACGGCACCGCTAGAGCGCCTTAAGGGACAGAATAGAATGTGTAAGATGCTGCAGTGTGAGTGTGAGTGTGTGTTTAAAAAATAACCATCCGTGCTTGTAGGGGAGAAACATCTCTGGAAGGATATCCCTTCCCATAAAAAGATGATAATAGTGGCTACTGAGTTGGGGTGGAGTAGAGTGGGTAGACAGGAAAGGTAAGAGGAAATTGCTTTTAACATCATAACTTTTTTTTTAGTTTACATTCATCTTGAGTATAACCTTATCCAATAGAATGTCATTATTTACATGTAGAGTTTGAAGAGTTTCGAGAAGTGAATGTTAAGATCTTTCATCCTCTTCGGTGTTACACAGCTGTCACAAAAATTAATTTTAAGGAAAAAAATCTCAGATTCTACTGACGTTCTATATGACCGATGATTGATTTAAAATACTTTCTTTGGTCTATAGTCCAGTGAGCAGAGGCGGCCAAAGTGGGGAAATGAGTTAGTCTGGCCTTCCATATAAATGTCTATTTCTCAAAAAGTGAAACAGTAAACGAATCCTATGGCTCAGTATAGGTCTACTCCTGGGTCTATTGGGGGTCTTAAAAGCACCACCGCAAGCAGATGCTTCAACATCAGCCATCAACGCTCCCGGCGGTGCCGTTCACAGTCACCCAGAGCTGGAACTAGCCCAAGTGTCCATCCACAGATGCTGGAAAACCAGACTTTGGCATTGCACTCAGTAGACTATTATTTGCCTGTAAAAAGAAATTCAGTTCTGAGATATGGTCTGGCAGGGATGAACCTGGAACCTATTGTGCTCAGTGAAATTGCCAGTCACAAACAACCAAAAACTGTATGAGCGCACTTCTGTGAAATAGCTGGCCTAGGCAAATGCGTCCAGACACAGGTTTATCAGTGGTGACCAGGGCTGGTGGTAGGAGCCAATGGGGAATTACTGCTTCAAGGGTACAGAGTTTCTGTTTGGGTTCATCAAAGACGTTTGAGATCAGAGAGTAGTAATGGATACACAGCATAATAGATATAATTAATGTCGCTGAAATGTGCGCTTTAAGTGGGTTAAAATGCCATCTTGTAGTACATGTATATATTTTACCATAATAAAAAAAACACACCTCTTTTTCTTTTCTTTTTTTTAAAGTATGTGCCGCACAAGTCAGGTAGTGAATCGCCTGGGGAAGGTGTGAGGGCCTAGTGCTCCCACCTCTAAGAGTCAAAAGCACCTCCACCTCATTCATACAAGAGGCCTTCAAAAGGCTTGTGCAAAATTGGGATTAAAAGATAAACATTGATATGTAGATGTAAACTTTATTTCTCAACATAAACTCCACCAAGGGTAAGACACTTTGTTAGGTGATAATACTAGCCATTTAGTCCACCCCTAAAAAACTGAGGATCTTGGGAATTTAACCATGTCAATGCAGTCTTTTTTTACATGATTGACTGAAGAAAAATGGGTGCCCCTTGAAGACTTTTAAAGATTAAAAACCCAGAAATAAGTGACAAGGAGCCAAATCAGGAATTGTGGGTGGATTCCTAATGATTGCCGATCGGAACTCTTGCAAAACTGCCCTTGTTGGAAGAGAAGACTGTGGAGGAGCTTTGTCATGGTGGCGAAGGACTGTCTGGTGCTAGAATGTTGGCCAAGTAGAGGGCCAGGGAAAAAGAGGAAGGCGCTCAGTGAGATGCACTGACACAGTGGCTGCATCGATGGGCTCACACATAACAACACTTGTGAGGGTGGTGTGGGATTGGCTGGGTTTTGCTCCATGAGCTGGAATGGACTGGATAGCAACTAAAGACATGTACGGGTCAGCCTGTATGCTCAAGTTAATTTAATGTCTGCTTGTACCTTCCGTCAGGAGCTCTGGTGGCGTTGTTGTTGGGTAAGTGTTGGACTGTAAGGTCAATGGTTCAAGCTCATCAGCTGCTCCCCGATAGAAACATGAAGCTACATCTCCTTCTAGAAAGATTTGCAACCCAGGGCTGCTATAGGTCAGGATTGCCTTGATGGCAGTAGGTTTAGTACCTTATGTCACTTGGGGAGGGAGAACTCTACATTGCCCCAAATAGGAGTCCTTGGCTCCTCCTTTATCAAGAAGGCCTTGGGAAAGACACAGCAACTTGAGGACAACTGTGGCAGAGTCAAGAAAATGGGCTGGG